GAGGTTGGACAGGATGACTTCCTGATGACCCTTTCAACCTAAATTTTCCTAAAGAGGGATTTGTACAATAAGGATTAGCAGAGTTTATGGAAGAGACACATGTCTTCAGCAGAAATGTTGCTTGGGCACACAAACACTAAAGATGAAGCAGAAAAAACAATTAGCAATTGGATACCTATTTTTCACTCTCTGTTCTCAACTACCAGCCAAAAGGAAAGTCCAGCAAGAATTTTTAGTGCAGCCTCCCCCAAAAAAGCATCTTTTTAGAGCAGTCTGAACAGAGCATCTCAGAACAGGTATAGATTTGGAAATCTGAACTAGACTCCTACAAATTTCCAGTGCCTTTTTCACTCCAATGACACACCACATTTTAGATAGATACTTATGTTTGAGGAGGAAAGGTTAGAAACTTTTTCTACACAAGCATAATTAAAGCAATGACAGCTATGAAATGAACAATTTCAGAATCTATTTCTTCACAAGTTATTAACATTACATTTTCATCAATGTCTAAGTGCCAAAGTAAGCAGATTTTCATTACTGATCCCAATACTTTGAAAGAAAATGTAAATTAACATTAGGTGACAATTGATAATGTGAGACAGCCAGAATAAGAAGAAACCACCAGCATCCACTGAATTCATTAGTTATCTACAAGGTATTTAACTGTTCCCCAAATGGATCAGCTTTAAAAAGCCACTTACTGAGGCACATAGCCTGATGCTTGACTAAATAAATAAAAATCCACAAACCATCACAAATCCAAAGAACCCAAAGACTTTAAAACTGTATAAGAAGAATTTGCTAAACTAGGTTTTCAGTGGCCTAAAAGAACATTAATATCAACTAAATGATTTCTCCTTTATCCCATTCATTGCATTTTACCTACCTAGTGTCTTCACCGTATAATGAGGACTCTCCAAAACAATTCCTTCTTCTGTGTCAAATATTGGATTATCTATTCCAGTTTTAGGAGGAATTTGTGCTAGTTTCTTTAGCCTCATGGAAGCAGTAAGGTCCAATTCTTGTTTCTTTCCCTCTTCTTCCCGTCTGCGCCTTATGTCCTCCTGCTGCTGACGAATTCGCTCAAGTTGAGCACTCCGCCGCATTGGCATCATCCTGGAGCCCAAATCCCCAGGGCAATCAACAGCCATTTCTCTGTGCTTCTGAGGTTCCTCAGGAGATGCAAGATCCACATTTTTTGCTTCACTGTCAGAATCTTCTGTGATATGTCCATTCATATGAGAAGTTGTCATGATTATTTGTAATTACGTTTATTCTCTTCAAACAGAAATGCGGCTATTAGGCCACTTTTTGTTACAATGTTGTGTAAAATCCATTATAACTTCAAAAATACTTCCCTTCCATCACAAGACCACTGAAGAAACATCCAGGAAGAAAAATCTAATGAAAGACATTCAAAAGAAATTAGTGAATAACTGCATTATTAAGAAAACACCTAAGACAGTTCTCCACATCCCCATGAATCAGAAAAATGGAACTTTTCCGCCACATTTACATAGTGCTTCTTACCCTACTAAGGACTACAGAACCCTCACAAATCTGTTTCACACATTTTAGTAAACTTCATATGCCAATGTTAGAAAAAGAGTACTGTTCAAACTAATGCTAAAGTCTCTTACGTTTCCTGGTCAGAGCAGTGGAGATTCTACATTCAACACACAATTGCAAACACACAGCTGCAAATCAGCAGTTTTCTGAAAGTTCCCACTCAGTTTTAATTTAGCCTTTCGTTCTTGAAAATTCCAAAACAAACCATCCTTACAATCCTACAAACACTAAATATTAATAACTTGTTATAAACAACATGTTCACAAGAAGTTTCATTAGTTAAAGACAAGTAAAGATATTTGCATTTATTGTTTATAAATTGAGACATTTTTATGTCAACATTGCTTCCCAAGTTCAGAGGAGACAGGTCTGGCTCTTCTAAAAGATACTATCTAAAGCAGTCTGGAGCTGCACTTACGCAATTCCAAGCAGGGATAGAGTCCTAGGATAAGGGTTGGGCAGTTCTGGTTAGCAGCTACTCTTAATACTTCCTATAGGTATGCATTAAAGCAGAAAGGATTAAATACAAGAGTAAAAATCCCTGTGTGGGAGTACGGAAGTATAGATTTGACAGAGAACAAGAACTCATTTCCACAGTCAAGTAGTGACATTCCACTATATTCCTTACACCTTAATCTGGTTTCTCATTCCTGATGATTCAGGCTAAAGAACTTAAGTATCCTGATAAATATAACCACTCGGCTCTTAAATATAATACATGTAACAATGTGTTTTATACCACATTGGCTTTCTGTATCACAAAGCCAATGACACGTTATCCTCAATATGTCCAATTAAAATGTTATAAAATAGTCATATACAGTATTACCAATACACTTAATTTTTCAAGTTCCTTTTTATAACTTTTAACTTACTGAAAGGAACTATCACAAAATGTATAAAAGTTTTATCATACACTGGAAGCACAAAGACAAACAAAAACCCCAACCACCAACTTTCTTAAACCAAATGTTTGTGTTTGGAGGAGGAAGGGAAAGATGCTTACATTGTAATTAAGTTGAAAATTAAATATCAATAGTACTGTTTTGGAGGAGCAGCATTAGAAACTCCTACACATGTTTCTGCCAGCTTGCAATTCTAAACAAGTACAGCTTTTCATTTTCATAAGGAGGAGTTGTATAAAGCTACATACAGCAACACCAAAACAATTTTCTTTACTTGTCTCCTGTCTAGCCACTACTACCAGTTATTACTAAGATCTTCCAAGAAGTAAATATTAAAGCATTTCTATAGTAGTAAAAAATTCTTTTTTTCCCTTTAAAAGATACTTAATCGCACTGCACTGATACATAAAAGTTATTTCAATGCTCAACATTCCCACATTCAGAAAAAATTCAGGCAAATAAAAAAGCTCATCAAAAGCTGCACAGTAGTGAGGCTAGCACTGCAAGTACTGCACAGTTATTTGGCACTTGTAAAACTTTCAGTTAGTGCCCAACTTGAGAAGAACAGCTTTTTGAAGAATGAAGTCACATAAAGTTAGCATTCAGACAGGGTTATATAGAGCACCATATCAGAAAGCGGTCTCTGAAATTCAGAGAAAGGCAGTTAATAATTCAGCAAAATGATCCTCGGGAAGCCACATTTCCCCTTCTGTAAAGGCAACTTCATCATACAGAAATACCAATCCCAAAAATAGAAGTCTCACAGGGTACAATAAAATTGCAAAGAGCACTAATTTAACTGTGTGTGAAAGATAATTCAAATTCTCTTTCATCCACATTATAGTGGCCATAAGCTTGTCTGAAGATTGAGCCTTTTGAAAGTTACATTCATCTATTTTCAACTCTGACAAGCTGAAAGAAAACTCACATTCCTTAGTTCATATGGTACAACTACCAGGTGTCGAAACAATTTGCGGGAATGAATAATATCCATTTACTCAGTACTGAAGTAGTAAAAAATGCTATCTGAGGATCTGCAAGAAGTAAAATACAACTTTAAAGATACCATCATAACACTCAATCATGTGTAAGCTAAGTAACGTCACACTCACTAAAGATAAAGAATGTACACATCAGAAAACTGATGAGAACTCAAGTCTGCTTCAAACATCACAAATCTTCATCTCCAACAGTTTTAGAAAAATGCTACTGCCCAACTGCAACAAATGAAATAAGCATATAAGGAAAAAAATTCACATCAGCTCTGAAGTCCCCTCTCTACAACGGTCCTCAGGAGTTTAAAATGTAAAATATAATACTGATAAAATGTTAACCCAGTCCTCAAATGAAGGTGTGGTGTAGCTGAGGTTAAAGATAAGATTCAACTTGAGGCAGGCACCAGGAACAGAAAATTATATTCTAACCAATAAGCATGACATGAAAAGTCTTCTGATGAATAATTTCAGAAACAGTTTTCTTGGCTTTTCTTTCTCAAGGTTTCTTTTGCAATTTTGAGAATCCCAATATAACAACAATAAGGGAAAGTTGTTATACCAAGTCTGTTCTCTGCAAGTTGTGGATCATCTGATAAATCAGCTTTTCAGGCCAAGAGCAGCTTATTTTGTTACATTTATTCTTATACTGAGGAGAATTTACAGACACTCAGTAACACTGATTTTTACTACATCATATGTAAAATATGTAGAGTAATATTTGGAATTAACAGAATTCTTTTCCACTTTAGAACTTGGTATTAGCAGGTTTTATGCTCTTTAGAGATGTACAAGTCTCTCTGTGTTACATTTTAATAGTGTTAAATTGTGGCTTTGATTGTCTTCCTTTGAATTGCCGATACCTAGCAGCGGCCCCTCACCACTTCCAACATGACAGGTAGATCTTTCTAAATAAAGCAGATTCATGACTGTTTTCTGTCCAATTTCACACCACAAGTCTTATAAATATGGTCCTGGACAGCACATGTGAAAGCCTCTTCTTCACAGATTACTTTTACTGTTCAGATTTTTGCCCTACATAGGGGGGTTATATAAACTGCTAACATAAATACAGCTATTGGGAAAGAACATTTCAGTCACTCCGATCACCATCAGGCATCACACAAGAGTTTCGCTGTGAAGTAATTATGAATAGCAAATAAACCATATTCCGGGTGCAAGTTCAAAACAGCAAAGTTAAAGAAAAAAACACAACTACTGCCTTGCTAACTCTACTTACTATTCTCAAAAATACTGTATTTTACAAGCCATGCATCTTTCCTCACACTGACCCCAACAATGTCAGGCTTCTATCATCTCTAAAACCACCCTCAATATACTGAACAAAGCACAGACCCCAAAAGCTCTGTCAAAGACTAAACATACATAAATGCAATCATCTGGGTGTGCAAGACAGATGCTAGTACAAAATAGATACTTACAGGGACAGAAACAGAAGTGCTGTAAGGTGGTTTAAGTTTTCATGCGCTTCCTAGAGACTGTGGCTGGTGTGCATAGCAATCCTAATTGCTTTAACTAAATTCTGTACAGTAAAATTAAATTTGTTTTGCTTCAGCAACTTCCAAAGAGCAAAAATGACATTTTCTGGGCGCTGAGGTTTTGTGTTACATTTCAGTGGTGTTTAAAATTCTTTCAATGCTATAAGTATGATTAGACTTGATAGTTTCCTTTTAAAAATTCATTAAAGCTGCAAATTCTGAATGACTGCAAGGGAATTCAGTGCCCACCTCCAACTGAATTTCATTAGTTTTGGCACAGTTGAGAGTATAAAAGCTCAACTACACCTGTAATTATATTATAAACACAAGAAACATATTTAACATCAGGCACAGCGCAAAGGATTTATCAGCTGAAAGCCATATACTATGACACAGTATATTAAACTATTCATTAAAAACAACCAGAAGAGGAATTCTAGGTTGCTGAAGTGAATTAAAAGTTAGATTAAATCATATACAGGATGCTTTGTGATTATCTGAATTACTAACAAAATATGAACATAAAATTATGCCAGAGATCTCTACCATTTATTATTAATGGCTCACATAATGATGGGTCTTCTGGTATTTTTATTTCATTTTTCTAAGCAAGCAAAACTTAAGTCATAAAAATTGCAAAATAACAAAGCAAAACATTTTAGTAATTCCACAAATGGAAGCTCGGTATATAAAAAAAATTCCCAGCTTTCCCTGAATCATCTCCCAAGCATCATGTGTTTCCTCAACAGTATTTCAGTGAACCTGCAAGGTTAAGAGCCCATTGCATGAAGGAAAATACAACACAAAGGATGTTGCACAGCATAAAATTAATCACTACTTGATGAGAGTTAAACACTGGAGTTTATGGTAGAAAATACTTCACAGATATCTCCTATGGAGCTTAACAGTACCTGAAATACCTGGTATAGACTGGAGTGGCCTAATGTTTTTCAAAAGCAAGTAGAAGTTGCAAAACCTGTGGGATCTTGATACTATTTTTCTTAATTCAAAAAATTACATAGTAGAAAAAAAGAATTCTCTTTAACTTTGCAACGTATTCAAGACTGCGACTTCTGGTATGGTTTGTTTGGTTTTTTGTCTACAATATTTTATATGATTTCCTCTAATTAGATGTTTTAACAGAGTCTTGGTATTGGAAGAAAACTCTTTCTTTAATATCCAGCTGGCTCTTATTTCTAATAATTTAAGACCAGGGTTCATTATAAAACCTGTCAAGCACAGTAACTCAGTTCAACATGTGTATTTCAAAGGGCTTTCAGACATGCCAAGAGGTTTTAACATTCCATGCTCACTTAGATGTGCAAGATATGTGGATCAACAGCAAAAAGGGCTAAACCCTCAAAAGGAATTTTCATTGTTAGTGCTTTAAGTTACATTTGTGCAACAGGAATAATAGTGTTGAATCGCAACATG